AGGAATTAAAAGAAAAAAAATCATATTATTTAAGTGGAGGGCTGGGAGAAGACTCATGATCTGCTGCCAGATCTGTGGCGTCTCCCACTTCACATGGAATCTGCTTAGCTTGGGGAGACAAAGTGTCCCCCATCCTCAGCCCAACAGGTCACCTTGAGGCCCTGAGCTGATGGTTCCCCGTGCAGCTTCTGCAAACAAAACGTTGCCATTTTAGCTCCAAGCAAAAAGAAACCCTTGTTTCTCCTCCCAAGGCCGTGCTGGCTCCACATAGCTAGGAAGCAGAAAAGGTACCAAGTGGATACAGTTGACACACAATGCCTGCATTTTAATCAAGGAACTTAAGAGACATTTCTACATTGATTATTTTTAGTAAAATGGGGGGGTTTATTATTTGTTTTACTTTTGGGTTTGTTTTTTTTTACCTTTCCTAATGTGCTTTATGCATCAAAGCAGCTTTAGGGCTAGAGGGGCTTGGGGCAGGAGCAATACAGCAGATAAAAATGTCAGTGGCGAGATACGACAAATTTATAGTAAATACCTGTCAACTGCTATTTATCTAAATTATCCAGCTCTGGGATTCTCCAGAAATACTTCATCAACTAGGAGGCAGCTACAGTTTTAAGCCTGTATTTACATCAGAATCTGCTCTTTTTTTTTTTTTTTTGGACACTTGTTCTTTACCCTAAAATGACCCCTTTGTAGCTCAGATCAAAGAGCTGGGAGTGTCAATACCAGTGTCTTCATGAAGATGTTAAGAACCTCAAAGTAATTGGTAACCAATTAGCATAAAGCTAAAAAAACCCACCTAGCTAAGGCAAACCCTAAATGAGTACTAACAGGCAACAGCACTGGCTGAAGCAGGAGCTTGAAGGACTTAAATCACCATCAGCTGCCTTGGAGACAACTTCTTGGGAGCACCCTCTGTGCAAACCACTCTGGCTCTGATTTTTATTTTTGTTTAATTCCTTTCTCCTCTTCATTCACTCTTTGCTTTCTGCCTTGCTACAGCTTACGGGAAACATGAAACAAAAACTGCTTTTCATTTCATGTTATGTAAAGCAAAGCAATTCCATGTCTTGGCCTTGAAATACAAGGCTCCCAACAGCTGTTCAGATGCTCCAGCAGATAAACCATCTGGCCCAAACCTCACCTTTCCTAATTTATTTTGGATATCGATCAAAGCAACTTGAGCATTACATAGACTTTGGTCAAAGACAACATAAAAGATAAAAACGTCAATGGCAAAATCACTTCACTGAAATATTCTTGTTTCTTCTTTACATAATAACATTACCATTTTCAACAAACTTCTCTATTAACTCCAGGAAAAGATATACCTGATACCAACAACCAAGCAGCCCAACCACGCTGCAGATGAATGTCCTTAAATAGCACACTGCTTCTCTACCAAAACTCAGTGGGGTTTCATCTTTAAGACCAGTTCAAAACTAGATGTGGACCTTGGCCAACTGACCAAGGAGACCAGGACAGGCCCCAAGACTCCTGTGTCCCAGCTCAGCTTCCAGCTTTCCCCCTTAACTGGTTTTTACGGTGCTCCTGGCATCTGAAAAACCACCATATCCATGGTTCTAGCCAGTTTTTTAATTTTCCTAGGAAAAGAACAGCAGACATTTGTCTAACATTACCAGGATTCCCACCGAGACACCGAGGTTGTGCAGCGGTTACTGATTCTAACCGACTTGAAACCAAACTTGTCAGCTGAAAAGCCCTTTTTTTCATGCAATTCAGAGTATATTTACTGCGTGCAGAAACCACGGGCAGGGTCAGGACTTGCTGTTCCAGGCATCTTTTAGAGAACATAAACTTCTGTCACGAAATCAAAGGGTTATTTGAGCAAAGAAGGCTTATCCGTGCGTACAACTCCGTGTAGGATACACAAATCCACTCTTGTGATGTTTTGTTTGATATCTGCAGATATTCCAAGCCTCCCCTACGCCCATTTCTTCCTCAGGACAGCCTCAGCCAGCCCGTTTCTCACAAGAAAAGGAATCGCCAGATGAATAGTCCCATAAAGCATCCCACCAGAGCCTGTCCTCCCCGGAGCCGCCACCACACCAAGGTCCAACTCTCAATTAACCCCCGCCTGACCTTCCTTCACTTTCTTTCCCCCTCCTCTGCCCTTCCTGAGAAAGTTCAGCGTTTCCTGGAAAAGTCTCCTTGCCTGTTTGATATTGTACTTCGCCTTGGTTGCTGAAGGAAGGATTTACAGGTGCCTGGCCCCCTCTGTAAGACCATGACCGAAGGCTGACCTCCCGTTACAATATGTGAACTTCTGCCCTGCTGATAAGGCTGGCAGATATGAGTAGGATTTTTCAAATAATCCTTTGGGAATTTATAAGCAGCACAGCCATAAAACTGAGGTGACTGGAAGGTCGATTTCACTAAAAATAATAAATATCTCAATGTTTATTCAACGTGGGCCTTTTTAACTGCAGGCCAAGCGTTTAGATAACACTATTGTAAATGACAAATATTAGGATTTTTTGGTAACTATTACATTATGATCCTTCCGTCTGACACTGATGTGGCCGTTTCCCCCAATGCTTGCTGGATCTCTGGCATTGTTCAAACCAAGATGGGCCTAGAAAGCCAGGGCAGGATTCAATCACAGGTCAGGAGAAGGGCAATTTTCTTTTCAGGAGCCTTTACTACAGTTGGTTACGTTTTTCTCTTGCTCCTGTCTCACCAACACACCTTCTTTGGAGAGCTGCTGTCTATTTTTTCTCATTATTAGGGCTTGTGGCTTCAATAGAGAAGTAGGGGGAGAAGGACTGAACCATGGAATGATTTTGGTTGGAAAAGTCCTTTCCCTCTTGTCCCATCCCTTGTTCCTGGGGAGCAGAGCCCGACCCCCCTGGCTCCAACCTCCTCTCAGCAGCTGCAGAGCCAGCAGGTCTCCCCTCAGCTCCTTTGCTCCAGGCTGGACACCCCCAGCTCCCTCAGCTGTTCCTGCTCACCCTTGTGCTCCAGCCCCTTCCCCAGCTCCCCTGCCCTTCCCTGGACATGCTCCAGCCCCTTCCCCAGCTCCCCTGCCCTTCCCTGGACATGCTCCAGCCCCTTCCCCAGCTCCCCTGCCCTTCCCTGGACATGCTCCAGCCCCTTCCCCAGCTCCCCTGCCCTTCCCTGGACATGCTCCAGCCCCTCCATGTCCTTGTTGTCCTGAGGGGCCACGAATTGACCTCAGAATTCAAGGTGAGGCCTCACCAGCGCCCAGCACAGGGGGACAAGCCCTGTATGGCCCTGCTGGCCACACTAATGTTGATACAAGCCAGGATGCTGCTGGCTGCCTTGGCCACCTGGGGCACCCCCCAGCTGAGGATGGGGACAGAGGACATTAACCCACTGACATGAAACCCCTGCAGCAGGTCTAACTTCACCAACTCCACAGCACTATTCCCACCTTCAGTAGAAGACAGTCTCATCCAGACCATGGACCACTGGCCACGAAACCTGCCTTCTAGAAGCAGGATCTCCCAGAGCCTTTCCAGAGGTCTACACACTCAGTTGCTAGTTCAGATTAAACAGGAAAGCAACAAGACAACAACAAAGGCCCCATGTAGAAATGAGACCATTTCAAATGTGAAAAACCAGTCATATCCACCAGTGAAAGCTCTTCATCCTTTCCATAACAGCTTTAGGTAGAAATACACAATTAAATAAATACCCCTGCATTAAAAGAGTTGCATGTAAGCTACACAAATAGGGCTCCTAATCCTGTTTTCATTATACATACTCTTCACTGAAGTTTCTCCAAATAAAGTGACACTTTGAAATCCACAAAGTGTTTCAGACCAGTTGTAATCTTCAACTAGCACACTCCCTGAACTGGGCTCCCAGCACCGGGTTTGGGGAGGAGGTTTATGTCCAAGATAAACAGAGTAACACATTTTGGGTAGGTTAACTTTTTCATTCCAATAAAGTATCAGGGCTGTGTAGCCAAATTGCATAATTATTAACAGATGAGGGCATAAAAAGATTTCACATAAAATGTTTTTAATGAAGATTCTTTTCCCTTTGCTAATTCATTTGTACGTATCACTAGAGAAACTGGCTTCTAAAGCACCTTCAAAACAATCCTCTCTCAAGCCTGGCTCCACCATGGAAAGGGAGGAAAGCTGTGAACAGAGTGCTCCTTTCATCTGCTGCCTGGCCTTCAGATTGCCCAACCACAGGGGAAGAGCCCTCAGAAAGCTCCCCCTTTCCTAAGGACCCTAAAGAAGGGATGCAAACACCACAGGTTCTTTTGTGCTTGTGGATGCAAAGCTGATATGTTGCTGGAGGCATTTTTGAAATCAAAAGTTGAAGGGTAAGCTACAAAAGGGCATCTTCTCTGCCCTCATTCTTAATAAATAAGTAAAAATCAATGTCTCATTGTACTCATAATACCTTGGAGAAAACACAGCTCATCTACCAGCCTACGTCTGCTGAGGTGGGAGATCTCTTGACAAGTTCTCAAGAACACAGTTCAGAACAACCTTTTTAGCCAATAACCAACCACCAGCAGCTTCAGTTTGGCAGTATTTTCAATGCACACAAAGCCTAACTATTGGGAAATACAGTGAAATGGTGGGATTGGTGGGACAGCAGCAAATCTGCTCCTGCCAAACAACGTCTGAAGAGCAGCAAAGTTCTGTTAGGCACAGCAAACAATACATTTAAAACCAATTTCCCCTCCATGACTCCTCCATTTGCACTAACAATGAAGCTACTGTGGTCAAAGATGAATTCTTGAAGGAAAGCTCTACAACCAAAAAACATGTATATTACAAACCCAGGCTCTGCAATAGCTGGATAAAATATCCCTTTTTATTTCTTTGGGCTGCATTAAGGAACTGTGTGGATTTTACCCAAAACCCTCCATCCCTGGCCTATTTTCAACTTCAGGTAACACACTTCTGGGCTTGGTGAACATTAATAACCATTTTGCAACCACCTCCTTCCAGCAGCAATACCTTTACACCAGTCTCACAGGCACTTACCAGGACAGAATATATGTGCAGGCATCGGTACACTGGTGAGAAGTCCACCAGGTCCTGGGCCCCAGGCACCTAAAAGGCAGCAGGAAAAGAGTGTGAAATGTACAGAATACATGTAGGTAAGTGTAACTCTAATATCACATCTAGCTAAGAGTAACTCTAAAATATCATATATAGATAAGTGCAACTCCAACACATGGAAGTCTGACAGAGAGACACCACATAACAAGGAGTGAATATTGGCATCTACCTCTGTTTGTCTATATTTACATTTTTAAATGCTTCTCACAATAGTAAAATGTCATTTATTATTGCTCTTGTTCCTTTTATGACCCCTTAGGAAATCCCACTGCAGCATCTGGCCCTCTGTTAGCCAGCTCAGCAGAGATTTCATGTTGACCATAGGCTTAAATACCCTGGCACAAGGGGGAGGAATATCTTATTCTCTAGATTTCTAGTTTGATTGCTTTAAAAGCACAGATTCTGTTTTATTTTTTCCACAAAAACCCCACGCCACACAGGCTCCAGCACCTTTCAACAACACAGTGAGTGTTGCACAGGGACAAGGAAGTGCATTTTTGAAGGGTGGGACAGAGGGAGGGAGGGAGAGCGAGAAGAAAGATCAGAGAAGAAATTTGCATACAAGAAGCTTGTGTCCTTTGGATATGTTCAAGCCAACACAGCATTAAGCTTGTTGGCCAAGGCATAAAGCTAAGGCAACCCTCCTTCTCCCCTAAAATCCAGCGAGGAGGGGTGTGTTCTGTTGACATGTGGTGGAAAAAAGGGGAGAAAGATGAAAGGGACCAATGGACAGGCCTGGGAAACATGTTTATTTTATATATATTTTTAATTATGCTTAAGAGGCACTTCTGCTAAAAAGGAGGTAGGATGAAGAGGAGAGAAGCTTCTTGCTGAGTGAAGGTATGCAAGCCTCAACCAACGCTGTCCCAGGTGCCCGGGGCGAGTGGTCCTCCTCATCTAAAGGAAGGGCTTCAAGGAGGGGAGTGCAGAAGTTATGGGCTGGAAAGGGAAAACGGGGGATTTTGTTCAATAGCCTCCTGGGTAATGTGGAACTGGAGCTGTAAAGAATCTCCTCCACGCAAAGGAACTCAGCTCTCAACACTGTGTAGGTTCCTGGTTAGAGCTGGAACAGTGAAAGAAGCTACAGAGACAGAAAAGCTGCCACACATGGCATGGGACTATCCTGTCCTGCACACCCAGTGTCCCTCTGAGACCCCAAAAAACTACACAGTCCCAACCTGGTGGTGCAGGGAGTCAAAGCAGCTGGTTCAACAGCTTTAAACTGGAAGAGAGGAAATTTAGTCCGGACCTTAGGAAGAAATTCTTTGCTGTGAGGGTGGTGAGACCCTGGCCCAGGTTGCCCAGAGAAGCTGTGGCTGCCCCATCCCTGGCAGTGTTGAAGGGCAGGTTGGATGGGGCTTGGAGCAGCCTGGGCTGGTGGGAGGTGTCCCTGCCCATGCAGGGGGGTTGAAACTGGATGATTTTGAAGGTTCCTTCCAACCCAACTCAGCCTGGGATTCTATGATTCACAGGGGACAAGACAGTAAAGGGTTTTATTGGGGTACAGCAGGAGCCAGCTCATCCATCTCACTGTGCTTTCCTCCCTGTCCTGCACCAAGCCAAGCAGCTTTACAGAGGGGCAAGGTTGGCTCAGTGGGAAGGAGGAAGGTTTCTTGGTGAGAGATGGGGTTGGCATCACCTGCGGGACCCTTTCCAAGCTGAATGTGGCTGTTCAGGGCTACAGCTGAACTGAGGGAAGCAGCTGGGGGGCACAGTTCATCAGTCTCACCAACATCTGCTTTTACCTCTTATAACACTGTATTTGACAACTGCAAACACCAGGCAGCAGTTTTATTGTGTTAATGCCAATTTTATCATGCCTTCCTGATCATTTATTTCCCATTTGCAGTCTCCTGGGCCTTCTAATACTCCTTCAATAACTCCCAAATCCCAATTTCAGCTACTTTGTGGAGACAGATTTTGCCTCACTGTGTTTCTCCAGCATTAAGTGTAATTGGTCTCCAGTTGGCAAAACAGTAAAACACTTCTGGCTCCCAAATCCCTGCCTGCAAAACTGTTGGAGGTCACTAAAGCAGAGAGGGAAGTATTGGTGCTCACTGGACCCAACCATCCTCCAGCGACCACCATCAGTGTGGGGCAGCTGGACTGGATGGACCCGAGTCCACCATGTGTTCTTCTAAAGGAGGAGAAATCTGCCAGCCCTTCCCATCATCATCAAAGCCAGGCAATGTTTTCCTACCAATTTGAATTCAGGATCAAACAGTTTTGCTCCTCTTGGATTTGGGGCACTGGTTGAACACAATCCACGGAGAAATATTTCTGATAAAGATTTGTGAAATCTGGATATTGCCAAAAAATGGAGCTCACTCCCCCAGAGAAATTCTTTCAAAGCAGACTGCAACATTTTCACAGTCTCTGATCTTCTGTAAAAACTTTTAAGCCCACACACACACTCACCAAAAAAAAAAATCTGCTGGACTGTTCTGCAGAGTTAACATCTCTGGGATGTTAATTGTTTTAACTTTGCTCATCTAGGTGGAAAACTATCAGACATGGAAGTGCCAGTCCTGGACCACCAGAAAGATTTGTGCAAATAAGAAGAAATGCACCCAGGTGAGCAAAACCTGTGCTAGGATTTTACACAGGGTACAAGCTACAATTTGAGGACAAGAACAGACCACCTCTTCCATGTGCAGCTGTAGCCCTACAACAGAAGAACTGATAATCCTATTGTCTGAAATCTTTCCACTCTAACCAAGACAGGCCTCTGAATATTCAGAATATATGAAATTATCTCTGGGGTTAGTTTAGCACATTGCACAATTTAAACGTATCTGGCATTTATATATTTAGATATTTATCTAATATTTTGAGATTTAGACATACCTAAACACCCAGACTTAGCACATGCCCTTGATTTTCTTAGCCAAAGCTGCAGTACCAGTGTTCAAAAAAATAAATAAATCTTCAATTTCTGAAACTTGATGATGAACTGAGAACTTGAGCTGTGTCAGCAGCAGGACTGATTGCTCCCCTGACATCTCCCTTTCAGTCTAATCTTTTTTTTTTTTTTTCTTCTCCTTCATTTGATTTGCAGAACAAAGAATTTATTCATTTTGTCCCAAATCTTCACAGTCCACATAACATGGCTTCCCAAACCCCAATCCCCAAACCCTGCATCCAGCATGTTCAGGGTGCTGGGGGAGGCAGATCTGTCACACTATGCAAAGAGCCAAACTCTCTTTTAGTGAGAACATTTTCAGTCAGGTTAACACCCAACTCTAGCAAATTTAACCCATAGAAACCAAGGTTTCCATGGAAATCAGAGAATCATAGAATGGTTTGAGTCTGAAGGGACCTTGAAGATCATCTATGATCCTATGATCTAGTTCCAAGCCCCCTCCATGGGCAGGGACACCTCCCACCAGACCAGGTTACTCCATCCAGCCTGGCCTTGAACATTTCCAGGGATGGGGCAGCCACAGCTTCTCTGGGCAACCTGGGCCAGGGTCTCACCACCCTCACAGCAAAGAATTTCCTCCTCATGTCTCACCTAAATCTCCATTCTTCCAGTTTTAATCCTTTGCCCTTCATCCTCTCACTCCCTGCCCTTGTCCCAAGCCCCTCCCCAGCTTTCCTGGAGCCCCTTCAGGCACTGGAAGGTGCTCTAAGGTCTCCCTGGAGCCTTCTCTTCTCCAGGCTGAACAGCCCAACTCTCCCAGCCTGGCTCCAGAGCAGAGCTGCTCCAGCCCAAGGATCATCTTGCTCCAGGAGCTCCACTTATTTCTTATGTTGGGGCCTCCAGAATTGGACACAGTGCTCCAGGTGGGGTCTCACCTCAACTAACACAAGTTTGGCCTAGAGTTGAGGGATGCTCTGGTCTGCCTTCAGATAATTTGTGATACAATGGTTTGATTCTCAGATCTTTGTTAGTTTTTGATGTGAAGCCATGAGACAAGCACAGAGACATTCACCTTCTTTCAGGGAGGAGAAAAAACCTTCAGACTTAACACCAGGAATTCAAGAGAGGTGTTTGATGAACCACCTCACAGGGTCCTTGATTGAAGCACGTGGATGAGCTGGTACAGAAGAACACGAGCACACGTGACACTGCACCCACAAAGGCTCAAGTCTAACTGAGGTCATCGAGCAGGTTGAGTCTCTTCAAGTGACACACACAGCACAAAAAGCATCTGTTCATCTTAGGGAGTAAAACTCCACTGCTCAGAGAAGTGTTGGTTCTGCAAAGCCCCCAGCTCTGGGGTCCTCAGCAAAGGGCAGCCACGGACCTGTTGGAGTGGGTCCAGAGGAGGGACACAAAAATGATCCAAGGGCTGGAGCACCTCTACTGTAAGGAAAGGATGAGAGAGTTGGGGTTGTTCAGCCTGGAGAAAGCCCTGTAAGAAAGG